GGAAATGTAATACGCTATAATCTAAGAATATTCATAAGAAAAATTTCAGTCTAAAATCGGCAGAATTAAATATAGGAGTATTCAGCATGGAACGTAGTAAACAAGATTGTAATTGTAACCGCTACATTTAAATGAGATAGCAATGAATATTCACAGAGCATACCTGTACTTTGGCGATACCGACGTCAAGTTTTGCAGCCAGAGTTGCTTTCTCTTTGCGAGTTAGATACCTCTTGTTTCGGAACGTAGCTTCGAGCGTGGTCTTCTGTTCGGCCGTGAAAACTGTTCTTCTTTCTCTGTGCGGAGGTATGATCACTGAATCAAAGTCACACCGGTCTGGTAGGAGGTCTAGAAGAAAACGAAAACTACATTAGAAAGAGCGTTTATATTCGCATCGACACGAAGCAGCAACTCATATTATTATTATAACGCGGTCTCCGCGAGCACAATGTTATTGAATATTGCCCTTTGGTCAAGGCTGAAAGCATATCACGAATTATCTTTTAAAGTTAAGCTTAAGTTACAAACATGAAAAAGCTGGACAACTGCAGAATATTCAGTGTCTTTTCCGTCAGAGCAATAAATGCTCCTTTTAAGCCTTAATCTGATAACAAATAAACGCAACACTGTCTACTGAACAAACTGAAAACATGTGATCCTTCGGTTCCTCTAAAATTTTCAAACCCGTGATAAAACGCTGAGGAAAAGTGAAAGATCTACATAGAGTCCTAAAGCGATGACGTCACGTTACCGTGACGCCGAAAAAGTCGGTTCTAAACAAACTCGTATTGCTTTTCAAAATGGCGACGCTTTCTATCGCGTCGTTGCTTTCCTATTTTTCAGACTAAAAGAATTCGATAAAGAAGGGAGAAAATCATTGTAAGTCTGATCATGTGGATTCATTTAGTTATCACGAGGGAGTTTTACGCGGTGAAGTACACTATAGCTTACAACTTTCTCGAGATTTAATTTCAAAAGTTAAACTCAAAAAACAACAAAGTTTAAGTAGGAATGGCCTACAACGAATGCAGTTTTAGAGCAAAGGTTAAGTTACAAACATGTACAAAATGGGACAACTACAGAATATTATCTCCTCCGTTACAGAAATAATTGCGCCGGTTAAGCCTTTATTTCATTTAATATCAGTTTTTATATACGCGAACAAAATGCAACAAAGCAAAGTTTTCAAACCCGTGATTAAACGCTGAGCTAGACTGAATTAAGATCAAGAAGGCATAGCTTACAAACAACGTTCTCTAGATTCAACTACGAGAGCTGAGCTCGGAAAACAACAAAGTTGAGCTAGAAATAGTAGTGGTGTATTTGAATGAAATTTTACAAACTGCAAAAGTGAAACAAAGAAAGAAATCTTCATCAAAGTCAAAAAATTCCGTTCTAAGTTCTGAACCTAAAAAAAGCTTTGGTTTTAGGTTTCTCTGAGGTAAATCGTAAACTCAGTGGTCCATAAATTGATCATGCCCTCACTTCAAGATTCGTTTCAGTACACAATTAAAATACAGCTACCCGAAACAGACAAAGTAACTATGTCTCAATTATAAACTGCAATCAGTAATGTTTTACCGCAGATTTACGTTAGGTAATCAATCAATCACACTCACCAGGACATCGTAAACGAACTGACGGGTCGGTTTCCCCGAAGTCTAAACGACGACCCTTCTTCTTTCTCCATGTCAGTGCTGTGGGAAATACGGCCCCCGTTCGGCGGTTACGAAGCTCATCGAAGTCCAGCTTTCGTTTCACAGAATCTACTGCAAGGACCTTCTGAGCAAAAGTTCCAGAATCAGTAGACATGATTGAAGACTATTTACGCCAACAGTAGCTTTTTCAAACTGATGAAAACGACTGAGAGAAACTCAATTTATATCTCTGTTGCACGCGTTTGGTTAAAAGTCTATTGTTTACAAATTGAAAGGATTTGACAAAAGAGCAAACCGTTTGTTTACATCTTAATTAGCTTCGCTACAAATAGAGTGATCTCACCTTGTAAGTGGCTAAAAAGTAGCAGTTAAAGAGAACAATAGATTATCTCACTTGACAACTTGGCAACCAAAGCTCTTTTTTCTTTTTAATCGAAACTACATCACACGCATTGTTGTAAAGTATATGAGAAAAAAAGCTTATTCAGCTTCCTAACATAAAGTCAGAGTTACAGCAATTTTGAATTAATGGTAAAAATTTGCGCGTAGAAATGTGTGAAGCTGGAA